AAAGACCCACAACTAGATAATGTGCAGAGTCAGAGACTTCGGCACACTCAGCCCTAAATGGGATATTTTACCCAATTCCTCCCTTCAAGGTTCAAGTGTCTATGTTGAAGAGGAAGACGAAAGACTGTAAGATTCAGAAGTGGTGGAAAACGCCAAAGAAACAGTGGTTTCCAGATACAACAGGGCTAATGCACAGATGGACTCACAGAGACTGTGATAGCACCCTGTGCTAGTTTTATGTTAATTTGACAAAGGCTATAGTCATCTGAGATGAGGGAACCTCGGTGAAGAAAATGCCTCCATCTGATCAGGCTGCAGGCAAGTCTGTAGAGCCATTTTCTTAACTAGTGAGCGGTAGAGGAGGGCCCAGCCCATTCATTGTAGGTGCTTCCACCCCTGGACCTGAGTTCTTTAAAAAAGCAGGCTGAGCAAGCCATGAGGAGTGAGCCGGTACCCAGCACTCCTTCACGGCCTCTGCATCAGCTCCTGCCTCCAGGTTCCCACTGGGGTTGAGTCCCTGCCTTGGCTTCCTTCAGTGGATCATGATTCAGGATGTGTAAGCCAAATAAACCCTTTTCTCCCCAAGCTGCTTTTGGTCATAGCAGTGGAAACCTTAACTGAGATCACCCCCAAGACCTGTACAAGTTCCAACTAGACAAAATCCCAGCATGGAGAAGGGCAGACAGGCACAGAGCCCCACCCCTAGCCAAGAAGCTATTTGCAATTGAGAGCTACTAGGAGAACTAAGACAATCTATTTTCTTTAATCGAAGAGTTAACCACACCTGGGGCAGACTGCGTGCTCAGGAAGAGTTGGCTAACACAAAACACTCCATGTTTTCCTATTTTTTTCTTTTCTGCCTGTGCTTTGTTTGTTTTAATTTTGGATTTTTTAAGATAAAAAAAAGAATATGAAATGGAATGGGTTAAGAGGGGCTTGGAGGAGGGGAAAACATGACCAAAGATATGTGATCATGCGCTACATTAAAGATGTTTTTTAGAGAAGACTCTGCTAAGCCAGGTATGGTAGTACATATCCCTAGCACTTGGAAGGCTGCAGGCTGAGAATTGCACAGTCCAGGCCAGTGGGACTAGACAGGGAAATCCTGCCTCAAAAACCAAGTCTTTACCTACTAAGGTGAAATGGCTTAGCTGGTAAAGGCACTTTGCAGTCAAGGTTGGCAACCCGAGTTTGACCCTCAGGACCCACATGGTGCAAGGAGAGAACTATCAACATATCAACACGCTGCCCTGTAGCATGAGGCTCTGTGGACGCACAAAAACAAACAATATAGAAATGTTTTCCAAAGCAACAAGAATTGTTTAATACTTAAGATGCTGAAAAGCCACAGACCGGGGAGAAATGCCTGCAGAACATACCACCTGATGAAGGACTTGCTCTAGACTACGGAAGGGACTCTCACGACATGATACACAGCAAACCCAACGAGAAACAGGCAAAGACTTGAGCACTTCATCTCAAAACAGATAGAGGGCTGTTTGCTTAAGACATGTCCAACATGTGATATGAAGGTAGAGGAGGGGGAGACTGTGAGTTAAGAGTTTAAGCAGGGATGGGTGTCGGCTGTGACTAATGCACACTGTGCACAGGGGCCTAGGCGGAATCCAGCTGGAACTGACCCGGAAGCCTCTTCGCTGACAACTAGCTCTCCTAGTGCTCAAAGGTGCAGCGCAAGCTGCCAAGGGAGGGAAACGGGAAGTAGCGCTTCCTGGGGGTCGAGTCTGTGAACCCAATAAAGTCAGGGGAGCTGTCTACCCTTAGTACAACGGGAGCGCTTTTACTTCTGGGATAGCCAACGGCTGTCTCACTGGATGGAAGGCCTACTCAGTAGGAGGGAATTAATGGCAGGCACCACAGTCTCGCCAACCACCTGAGAGGCCACGGACCCGGAGGAGAGGCTATCGCTGCCATTTCCCTAAACCTCATCACTTCCTGCTGCATTCTGAATTCGTATCTGTACGCCCGCCCCTGAGCATGGCTCTCACCCTCATCAAAGAGGCTTCTTTTTTGCAGCAGATGTGACTATTACAGAGCGCTACAGCTCTTCAAAGTGCAAAGAACAATGGGGTGCACAGCCCCAACGGACACATCTGCAACACAACCCCTGCATGTAAGGCTCAAGAAAAACAAGAGAAGAGAGGCCAGGAAGATTGGAAGAACCAGAAGACCAGGATGCCTGCTTCGAGATAGTGTCTTCACGACATGACAGAGAAGCTTACCCGTGAAACCTCAACAATGTGATCAGCTAAGCAAGACCTACATGATGAGAATAGCAGCTGACACATGAAAGTGAATGGGGGAACTTTACAGGGCCCCCCACAGGAAGAGCTACAGGGAATCAACGGCTGCTGAGTGGGAGAATTGCCTTCTCCAGGGATGAGCTCCCTCACAGGGGTTCCTATGCCAAGAGGCCAGCTCTGAGCACATGTACAAGCAACACTAAATGGACTCAGGAGAGAGAGGGAGAGGGAAACACACACACACACACAGAGAGAGAGAGAGAGAGAGAGAGAGATAATAAATAATTAAGAAGAGCTCATGAAATGGAGAGGGAGAAAGGGCAGGGTGGGAGCTGGAGAGGGAGGACGGGTGGAGATGAGGTAAATACCTGCGTGCGGAACTGCCCAAAAATAATTTTCAAATGTGTTTGATAGTTCTCTGTTGAACAATGGATCTATTCAAGTCCTCCCTGCATGCTGCTAGCTCTTAACTGGGAAGATGGTAGTTGGCACCTTTGCAGACCTCGGTCTGGTAAGAGAGAAAATATCCAGAAACAAAGAAACAGCCTTTCCGAGTGGTGTAAGTGTTCTACAGGAAACCAGGGTCAAGATACAGCACGACACAGCAGGGGAGGAATAAACATTAGATGCAGTGGTCAGCAAACGTGACGGCCATCTGAACAAAGGCGCTCAGAGGAGAGGGCCATCACCAACCGCAGTCGTTACTTGGCTTGTCAGTGCGATAAAGGGCCTGAAAGAACAAACATAAGGGAGAAAGGATTGGTTCTGACTTGTGGGTTAAGGGGACAAATCTATTACGGCAGGGAAGGTGTCGGGGAAGCTTGCTCATGTGGACCAGGGAAAGAGACAGATAATCTCAGGCTGGAAAGGGCGAGTTTCCAGCCCATAAACCTGCCCCCCATAGCCCACTCTCGCCAGCCAGGCCCCATCTCTTAAAGGCCCCACAACCTCCCACTCCAGGACCACAAACCAGGGGCTAAGGGTTCACATGAGTCTGTGGAAGTCATCTCACAATACAAGCTAAGGGCAGCAGAAAGCATAGAAGTGTGGGAGTACCTCAGATGGGAAGAGTCAGGCAGGCTTTGGGGCCAGGTCAGGCTTGTTTTTACAGGGGAGCAGTTAACACGGGGCTGACGTGAGCCACCTTGTGAGGTTTCAGAGGTAACGCTCATTCTACACAGAGGTTTCAAAGTGGCAGTAGTAAGAGAAGCAGACAGATGCCAGGTATATATCAGAAGGAGATTCCACGGGGCACGGGACCCGTTCCACTCGACATGGAGGGTGAGAGGGAAGCAGCAGATGGGTAGAGCCAGGATACAGCACTAGGCTTGCCACGAGCAGCAACCAGTCACTGCGGCGGCACTGACCTGTACAGATTTTCTCATCATCATTCCCTACGCAAAACTGTAGAGCGGCTGCAGCAGAGGCAGTTACACTGTCGCAGGTGTGGGAGCACTCAAGCTCAGGGGAAGACATGAACAGCCCACACCAGTTTCTATTAGGAACTCGAGTGCCTGTAGATTTTGACAGCCCACGGCACCTGTTCTGGCCAGGTGTCCGACTGTTTGAGCCAGCTAAAGTTGGAGCACTCATCTGACCTTCATGGCTCAAGTTTAGAGGTCCAGCCGGGCGAGCTGGCCGAGACCACACCACCACTCCCAGGGTTTCTGTTACTGAAAATGCTCCGGTTTCTAACCTGTCCCGGGGGAGGCTGACCCACCAGTCCAGGTCCTTCAGTTGTTGGTGCTCTGATACGAAAAGGAGACCCAGCCTTCACTCCTCACGACACCCCTGGGCGCTGTGGATCCAACGCCCACTTCCCTGGGCTGAAATGCACTCAGCCTTGGGAGACCCAAGGGTTTGGGATGACCACCTGCTGGCCCAGCAACTGCTCACAAACCCACAGTGACTTCCATGAGCGTGAGAGCCACGAGTGTGAGACCCTCCTGAAGCAAGGCACACAAAGCAGCCTCAGGAGGAGGTCAGCATCTTGTGGGAAGAGAAGAAGATGGGGGTTCTCAGAAGCCTGAGTGGGGGGAACCAGACTGGGAACTCAGGCTCCCGGGTCCCAAGCGTCTGAGAAACCTGCAAGGTGCGGGGCCCAACCCTCCCCACACTGGCCGCTTCTAATGCACAGAAAGTTCCCCACTGTCCGTTCTGCTACTTTCCGCAAGACAGAAGAGCACACACACACACACAAAACAAACTAACATTTCCTTGCTTAGACTGTCTATTTTAGGAGGCATGACGGATCTCACTGTAGCCTAAGCTGGCCTTGAATTCACTATGCACGGGCTGGCCTGGAATTTGCAATCCCCCTGTCTCAACCTACTGAGTGTTGGGGTTACAGGTATTCCCCGCCCTGGCCAGCTCTTGATCAGACTTTTCATGTAAGCCTGAGGATGCGTCTGTGTCGGAGCACCCGCCTGGCACGTGTGATGCTCTGGGTTCCATTCCCGGCACCGCAAGGGGGAGTGTGAGAATGAATGAAGGGTGCTGTTCATACAGGGATGTCCTTGAGCTCTAGCCCCAACCCACAGTCCTCTCCTGCTCCCCTCCTTTACCAGCCTTTCTTTCCCAGGCCAGGCACACCCGACAAATGAGGCAGGTGCCCTTTCCACCAAGCCCGCGTGATAACAAGGCCATCCAAGTTAGGGCCTGAGGCTGGTGCAGAGGGGGGGAGCACCAGGACAGGGCCCTGTGTCACACAGCAGCCCTTGCCTGGGATGCACTCCTTACCTTCTCATAGGGACAGTACTTGAACATCTTGATGGGGCTTGTGCAGATGAAGACATCAGTGCTGCCAGAAGAGAAAGGACAATGAGCCCTGCAGCTGCCTCCACGCCGCCCTGCACCACCCGCCTCTGCCAGCTGAGCCCTGCCAGGGCCCGAGCCCGCACCTGTGCTCATGTAATCCCCCTGTCTTGGCCTTCTGAGTAGATGGGTCTTGACAAGGCACTATGTGGCTCAAAGTGATCATTTCTAAACAGTTTTATTGAGATACAATCGACATGCAAACATGCATGTGGTATTCATACATCTATATACACACAGGAAAACACACAAGCATAAAATATGTTTAAAGTTTTGAAAACTGCACTTATTAAAAGGGAAAATTTTGATAAAAAGCAGATCATCTCCCCCACCTGCCCCTGGCTGAGCTGACCCTGGAGCCCCTGCAACTACCAAGCTGTTTTCTCCTGCTACAGATTGCTCTGGACATCCTATAGCTTCATCTGGGGTACATTCTTCTGTCTTCCTTCACTCAGCAGACTATTCACCCACACCATTAAATAAACATCAGCAGTTTTAGCTTCTTAAAAAATCTTAAAAATCAAGCAAACGGATTGTTATGGCTTTTGTTTTGTTTTGGGTTTGTTGTTGTTTACTTTTTGTTTTGCTTTGTTTTGGAGATGGGGGCCTCACTATGTAGTCCTGGGCGGCCCAGAGTTTGCTATCAAGCTTGAACCCAGGAAATTCACCTACCTCTGCCTCTTCAGTGCTGGGATTAAAGGTGTATGCCACTACTTCTGGCCTGATTTTAAGTTGTACTGAGATATAATCCATGTAATATAACATTTATCCATGTAAGGTATATAATTAAAAAAATTTTAATATATCTGCAGGGTTTTTACCAAACACAATTGCAACTTAATTTTGAGACTATTTCCACCCCCACCCCCACAAACACACTAAGAAATCAGTACCCATTCCCACCTTCTCTGGCCCCTGGACACAATCAATCCGCATCTTGTCTCGAGGACCAGCCAGTCCTGGAGAATTCCTGTAACTGGGCTTGCACAGTATGTGGCCTCGGTGTCTGCGTTTCTCCACTCGCACCATGGCTTAAAGGCTCAGCCACACTGCAGTATGCAGGTGGCATGATCACTCTTGAACACCTTTGTGTGCACATCTACTGACTCCGATGGGTGACAGCAGCTTTCTTTGCTGAGCACCTTACTGTGCCAGCAGCCACAGTAAGCACTTTCTTAGTAGCTTCAGCTTAAACAGTTTAAACCTAGGACACTGGAAACTCGCAGGAATCTGTAAGGGTGAGCCTACCTAAGACTCCTAGCAATGGGAGACATGGAGCATTTACCGGCCATCTGCTGTAACCAGAAAAGACTTCCATTAAGGGACTGGGACACCAACCCAGTCACAAAACCTTAGACCCGCAATTTGTCCTGCCTACCTGATGTGCAGGGGTAAAAGATAGAGCAGAGTTTGAGGGAGACCCATGCCATGAGAGGGAGCCCACCCCCAAAACCCCCAAGACAACAGGAGAATTCTGAAAAGCATAGGTGCTGGCGTAGCTTTCCTTTCGCATCCACAGGAGTCAGCTGTAAGCCCCCTGTGGGCACCAACCACTAGGGATGCTCTGGTCCTTACGTGACCCCTGCACATTCTGTGTGTACCTCTTCCTGTCTCTGTCTTCAATTCCTAGCCACCATGAAGTGAACAGGCCTCCTCCACCACGTGGTCACAGATGCTATGTTTGAGCCACCAAGGCTCAAAAGAAACAGTGACCATTAACTGCAGCCTCCATGGTCATGAGCCAAGGCAAACCTTTTTCTTTAAAAAAAAATGTAATATTTTATGAATGTTTTGCCTGCACGTATGTATGTACACAGTGTGCATGCCCGATGCCCAAGGAGGTCACAAGAGGGCACCAAATCCCATAGGACAGAAGTTATAGACAATTGTGAGTAGCCATATGGGTGCTTGGAATCAAACCCAGGTCCTCCACAAGAACACATGCTCGTAACTGCTGAGTCACCTCCCAAGGCCCCAACCTTTTCCTTTCCTCAGCTGATTATGTCAGGTGTTTCATATATAGTGGCACAAAGTTACCTGCCTAAGAGGCCCGTTAGTGAACTGGATATACTGAAGTACACAGTTATCTTGAATGTAACTTTTTATTGATTAAGTTTGTCCTTTGACACTCTCACATGTGTGTGTGTATAGTGTGCGCTGATTACTCTCACCTAACTCTTTGAGAAAAAGTCACATTTACTTATTTATTTCACAGGAGGCCGCCACAGGGGTCAACTTACAGGAGCCGGCTCTCTCCTTCCGCTAAGGGTGTCCTGGGGCTCTACCTCAGGAAGGCCTGGAGGCAAGTACTCTTACCTCTTGAGCCATCTGTCACCCTCCCCTCAAGCTTCCTTTATCTCTCCCAATGTAACTTTTATTTCAGTGTAAACTTTTTATTCAAAATGGGTTCAAAGGAGGAGAACAAGAACGGTAAAATAACAATAAAGATGTCTGAAAAGTCCTAAGTTGGTTTATAGATATACATATATAGCTTAAAAGAAATGTTTCCACTTGAACTGACAACACCCCCTCCAAGAGCCAAAGACCATTTAACAGAAACCCCAACACTAAGTAAAGAAGGCCTCTTTTGAGTTGTTGGTCAGCGATGGCCAAGAGATTCCCGGATACCTACTGCGGCTATCTTTGGTTGACCCCCTGCCCCAGAGGTAGAAGGGAAGTTCCAAAGCTGGAGACACCGTGCACTTCAGAAACGAGGCCCAGAGACCCTGAGCTGGAACTGACCCGCGTGCCTCCTCCCTGAGGACTGGCCTTCGTTGTGCCAGAGGGCACCTTAAGCTTCCAAAGGAGGGACTCAACCAACAGTCCTACCCAGATATGACACCTAGGAAGCACAATTACCAGCATAACCCTACAGGTACAGCAGTGGCACACGTATCTTGGTGAGAACCAACAACTCTTTACTTGGACTTAAGACTCATTCAACAAGAAGGAATTATGCCTGGTGCCGGAAATCAAGACAACTACCCAGGGCAATGAAGTCATGAATCATGGCAACCACTCCTTTAATAAGCCGGCAAAGTCTGGAACCACATGCTAAATATTTGTCCTTATACCCACAGATAAGTTCAGATCTCACCCCTCATCAAGGAACTTCTCATTGCAGCAGACAGAGACCATCACAGAATTCCACAACTGACCAAAAGTTATGGAGCCCTGTCCCAGCGGGGACACCCACAGCAATGCTCCTGCACCCTGGGGACCATTTTGGAAGAGGGGCCTGGAAAGATATTCAGAACCAGAAGAATAGGGAATTTGCTGTGAGATTGTGTCTCCTAGTAATGTGAGAGGCTATAGCCATGAAGTCTCTCCAACATGATTGCCTAAATGTGAGCTGAACAAGGAAAATAACAATAGGCTTGCTAAAGTGGATAGTGGCAATTCCGTGAGTCCTCAACCCTATGCAGAGAGCCACAGGCAACTAAGGAATGTTGGAAGTGGCTAAAAATAGCCTTTCTCAAAGAAGAGAACAATTGATCATACAATACCAATAATCCCTGAAAACATACATACAAGTATGACTATATAGATCGAGCAGCTTATTCTTTTGTATTTAGGAGTGTGCGTGACATCGATGTATCAAGTACCTGGCAGAGTAATGCTGCCTGACATTCGTGTGCGTGTGTGTGTGTGCATAACAATTTCTTTTAAGGTCATGAATTTGAAAGAGGGTAAGAAAGGGTAAATGGTGGGTTTGGAGGGAGGAAAAGGAAGGGAGAAATGATGTAATTATATTACAATCTCAGAAAACAAAAGAAATAATAGAAATAGGTTAAATCAAGGGTGAGGAGCCCATGAGTACAGGCCAACCATGCCTGCTTCCCAAACTCCTGCCATTGATTTAAAAAAAAAATTTACTTACTCATTCTCATTTTGTTTTGCCTTCATGTATGTCTGTGTGAAGGCGTCACATCTCCTGGAACTGGAGTTACACACAGTTGTTAGCCGCCATGTGGGTGCTGGGAATTGAACCTGGGTCCTCTGAAAGAGTAGCTCTTAACCACTGAGCCATCACTCCAGCCTCGTCATAGATCTTTGTAAGTCAAATTCACACCATAAAACATAATGAAATACACTGCTCTTCAGGACCTGCTCAAGCCCAGAGATAAAGTATTAGCCAAATAAAGTCTACAATTCAAATCAGACTATAAGCTTTTCATGTTTTCTTTGTACCCTTTAGTCAGATTTGAATTTACACATTGTGTGTGTGTGTGTATGTATGTGTGTGTATGTGTGTATGTGTGTGTGTGCATGTGTGTGAGACACATGTGGAGGGCAGAGGACAATTTTCAAGAATCAGATCTCTCCTTCTACATGGATTCTGGGGTTAAGCTCAAGCTTGGAAGCACATGTCTTTACCTGCTAAGCCATCCTGCCAGCCATATATTAGAATTTTAAAGTGGATAGTTTTAGAGGCATTTCTATATTAGAGCACAATGAAGACCATATCACATTCATGTCATTCAGTTTGCTAAAGTTAAGCAAAATCATGGGCAAATCTCAATGTAAACCCTTACATTTGGGGTAAATAGACTTTAAACTGGGTGCCAAGACAGTTCCATGGGAGAAATAATAGTGCTGGGCTAATTAGATACTCACACAGAACAATTCAGCTGGACTCAGCTCACAGAGGAAGCCGAGCATGGTGGTGATGCCTTTAATCCCAGCACTCAGGAGGCAGAGGCAAGTGGATCTCCATTATTTCAAGACCAGCTTGCTCTACATAGTGAGCTCCAGGCCAGCCAGAGGTATATTGTGAGACCCTATCTAAGAAATAAAAAGAAAAGAAAGGACCCGAGGGATTAGTCTAGTGGTTTGAATTACAACAGCCCCCATAGGCTCATATTTTTTTAATGTTTGGTTCCCAGATGGTGGAGTGTTTGTTAAGGAATAGGAGGTCTGGCCTTGGAGGAGGAGGTGTGTCACTGGGAGTTTCAAAAGCCCACAGCAGAGTGTGTTTCAATCTCTCTGCCTCCGTCCAGCAGATACCATGTAAGTGCTCAACTGCTGCTCCAGTGCCATGCCTGCCTGCCTGACACCATGCTCCCACCATGATGGTCATGGACCAACCCTCTGGAACTGTAAGCAAGCCCCCAATGAAACGCTTTCTTTTATAAGTTACCTTGGTGGTGATGTCTCTTCACAGCCATAGAAAAGTAACTAAGATACCTAGTATGCATAACACCCTTGGTTCAGTCCTCAGCAGAAGAAAGAAAGAAAGAAAGAAAGAAAGAAAGAAAGAAAGAAAGAAAGAAAGAAAGAAAGAAAGAAAGGAAGGAAGGAAGGAAGGAAGGAAGGAAGGAAGGAAGGCAGACGGACAGACAGGTGGATAATAATAGGTAGGTAGGTTGATGAGAGACAGACAGATAGACAGAATCACAATGTAAAAATAAGACTGAAGCGAAGTTTCTGGTTTCTTTGGAAACCCAGCTGTGTCATGTGAATATGTTCTTTGGGTCCCAAGTGTGGAATGTGGGAATGTTTTGCCCCCTCAGAAAACAGACCCCCCAGAACATAGCCCTTGTGAAAAGGCACATGAGATTTGCCAGATGAAAACTACCTTGTGTGAGGGGTGGTTTTGGTGAGCTGGAAAACATCCTTCTGTGGACTCTGAAAAGGGATACAAAGAAGCCCACAGACAGCGAGACAATGTTTTCTGCATCTCTAGCTCTTGCATCGCTACTCTTTTCGATGGCTCACATCCTTGGTACCCTTCATGTTCTTAATGGACAGAGAACTTCTCGGGCTGTTTTGGAGGAGCTTTGCTGCTTCAGCAGACCTGTGCCATTTGGTAGGAGTCTAGCAGCTTCTGCTGCTGCTGAACATTGCCGCTGCTGCTGCTTTGCTCTCTGACTAGACTGCTGCTATCCTGACGACTGAGTTTGGTACTCCCCAAAGAACCCACTGACCCTTATCAGCAGGAAGCAGAAAAAAGAGGCCTATAGCCCCTTTCCCTACTAATCTCCTACCTATGGTGGAGGGGAATAGAAGGGAGGTAAAGACATTTAAGAACCTTAAAGTAGGTGTTTGAAAAATCTAAGCCCATATAAGACCCAAACTTAAGGGGCTAGAGAGATGGCTCGGTAGTTAAAAACACAGGTTGCTCTTCCAGAGGATCCGGTTTCGACCTGCAGCCCACACATAGTGGCTCAGAACCACCTGTGACTCCAGTTCCAGGAGATATGACACCGTCTTCTGGCCTCTACAGGTACCAGGCATGCATATGGTACACAGACACACATGCAGATAAAACACCCATTCACATAAAATAAAATGAAATAAAATAAAATAAAATAAAATAAAAACCACACACACAATGAGAGACCATAGTTACATCCACCATCAAGATGGTTAGAAAATAAAAGTCAATAACAAGTGTTGACAAACAAGCCAAGAAACTGCAGCCTTCCTAAACTTAATGGCAAATGGCTGATTGATTCTTTAAAATATTAAATACAGAATTACCCTGCAACTTCTCAGCTTTACTCTGAGGTATACACCCCAAACAAGTGCAAACATAAATGTCCACAGCTGTAATACTAACAAAGTTAAAAGATGAAAACAGTCCAAATGTCCATCACTTAATGAATAGATACACAAATGCAATCTATCTGTACAACTGACTATTCAGTTGTCAAAAGCATAAGTATGTGGTTGGGGGTATAGCTTAATGGTTACAGCACTTGCCCATCATACAAAAACCCATCCCACACACTCACAGAGTAAAAGGGGGAATACTGACAGATAGATAAATAATACAAGATAGATAAACTAAAATCTTTAAGTGTAAGAAGCCAGACCCAGATGATGGCCTAGTACGTGGATTGTCTGTAACAGGCAAAGCCCTGGAAACAGAGAGTGGATTAGTGGTTCTTAGGAGCAGCAGAAGGACAGGAACAAGGAGTGTGCTGACAGGTTTGACCTGTTCTTTTAGGGCGTGCTGAAAAAATTTCTGAAGCGGACAGTAGCAATGGCTTCATAACTTTGTAAGCCACTGAGCTGCACACTTGAAATGGGTTAGCTCTGAGGTGTGGTGTGCATGTCGCTAAACCTGCACTTGTAAAAGATCTCAGGGAAGCACAATGCCCACAAGTTCTAACAGGCCTCAGAGGACCATAGAGGGTGGGTATGGAGTGAGGGCGTAAGCCGATACAAGCAAACAAAATGACAGCCTGTCCTTTCTGAGCCCCCTTTTTCCAAGTGAGTCCCGCTGCTCACCCACCACACGGAAGACTGGGATCATCTGCCCTGTGTGACCGCTTCACAACTGCCAGCAGGACTGTCTTGGTGGGCAAAGCCCATGCTATACGTCACAGTCACGCTGGTGCCCGCAGCATGTGCCCAGCATAGCTTCCACCAGGGTCAGCAATGACATGCAATGGGCCTCTCTGCAGGGCTGAGGAGACAAGGGAAAGGCAGCAAGATGGAGGTGCAGGCCTAGACTGTACAGTCCTTCCGGAGGGCTGGGGAGACATACTTACTTCTGCAGATTGGCCATCTGCTTCACAGCTTCCACAGCTCCCGGAAGAGGCTCAAGTTCAAAGAAGAAATCCTTTGACTCCCAGATGCTGATGGCCTTCTCCTGAGAAGAAAAAAAAAAAAAAAATGCAAGTTACCTCCAGGACCCCACTGTCTCATCACCCTCCCCTCGGAAACACATGCAGCAGGGCAGGGCTCCTGCAGGGTAGGAAGGGGGTCAAGGTTCCCTACACCCACTCCCAGACCTGTTTCCTGTGGAGAGTCATAAGGAGCTCCGTGTGCTCCAGCCCCTCTATAAGGAAGGATGTGACATCTGTTAGGACCCAGCAGAGCCGGGCAAAGGTGTCAGCTCTAGGAGAGCCAACCTGGTGTTCTCAGGTTGAGGACAGCCTTCACAAGGTGCACATTTGCTAGGCTTGCCTACACAGTACTGCCTACACAGTACTGAAAATGCTTTCAGTGGGGCTGAAAGCAGTCATGGCAGCAAGAAAAGAGTCACTAGGGCTGCAGGCTAGAGACAATGCAGGATACCCTGGTCTACAGGATGGAAGTATAGGAAGCTGCAAACAGAACTAGGCGGGTCCCAGGTTCCTCATCACACCAATCAGAACAGCTGTGCTCTCACCTGGCTCATGTGCTGAGACCAATACATTCTTTTATTTTCTTGAGACAGGATCTCTCTATGTAGCCCTGGCTGTCCTGGAATTCTCTATGGAGACCAGGCTGGCCTCAAACTCACAGAGATCTGCCTGTCTGCCTCTGCCTCCAGAAATGGGTATGTTTTTGTTGTTGTTGTTTTCTTGTCAAGTTTGAAAGCCAAAAATCCAGACCCTGTGCCAGGCATGGTGGTGCATGCTAGTTCCATTACTTGAGAGGCCATTCTGAACAACAAAATAAAACCCTGTCTCAAAAGAAATACAAATGGGAGCTGGAGAGATGGCTCAGAGGTTAAGAGCACTGTCTGCTCTTCCAGACCTCTGAGTTCAGTTCCCAGCAACCACATGGTGGCTCCCAACCATCTATGAGATCTGGTGTCCTATTCTAGTGTGCAGGTGGACATGCAGACACAACATTGCATACATAATAAATAAAACTACATTAAAAGAAAAATACAAACACTCTCTTTAGCTATAGGAAAACTGATGCCATACAGAAAAATGGCTGAGTAAGGGTCCCCTTTCTACCGTGTGTGACTCCCAGAGAGCTGGCCACTCTCAGTCTCCTAGAAGACAGCTTCCCGGTGCTGTACCTGTATTCAGTACAGGAAACACCACTGCCTGGTTAAGAGAGCACCAGCACTGTGTCAACAACACGGGGCTGGGCAAACACACAGTTACTAAGACCCATTCTCAAGTTCCATCCTGCAATCTACGAGGACCGGGGATTGCTGGTCTACCATGTAAGCAGGGTCTTCTTCAAGGCCACTTAGGGTTAACAGCGTCAGGACTGGAGCTCACATAGAGAGGAAGTATGACCCTTGCTGTGGGTCAACCCTGGGCTGGCCACCACCTTCATGCGGCTTCTTGCCAACAGCACAGAGACAAGACCCATCCCTCCCAAAGTCCTGGTGAGACAGAATCATATGGAGTTCCAACACCAAGCCTGCAGAGACAACCTCTCAGCTCCCTGTCCTCCCATCACTTGCTCCCGTGAAGCACCGACAGACAGACTCCCTTCGCTGGCTCAGTTCTCTGTCCTAGCTGAGGATTCTGTCAGTTGAAATGCTCGTTTCTTTCCACCTTTGCCCCGTTTCCCTCCAAGACGACTGTGGGAGCCAAAGAGAATGAAGACAAAGGCGCAGCTAGCCCTCAGGGGCCCTGGAGTCTCCATCCATGGATTCAAACAACCACAGGCAGAAAATACTGGACAAAAAAGTTACTGACTGTAGGAAACACTCAAGGGCCGTTTGAGTGTCAGGACTCCCTTACTAGCAGTATTAAGACCATCTCCATGGCACTTACACTGCATGCCGTATTACAGCCCCCTAGAGAAGACAGTCGATAGGATTACACAGGTCATACACAAATGCCACTTTACAGGAAGGGCTTGCGCATCTGTAGATTTTGGTACCCTAGCGGGTCCTGGAGTGAGTTCCCCCAATATCAAGGGGCAACGTAAAAATGGCCGCATCTATTCTACCTAGATGGTTAGGTTCAACCACAGATACTTAAGAGACAAGCAGCCCACAGGGAGGCTCCGTGGTATCCTCCAGTGAGCTGAGGCTTGGAAAAGGAATGAGTGGAAACCAGTAGGTTCCTCCATCCCCGCTATTCCTTCCTTCCCATGGGATCTGGAGAATCTACACAGAGAGCTAGGAGGTCACCGAACCTTTTTGTTTTTGTTTGCTGGTCCTGAAGATAACCCCCAAGGCCTCGCGCACCCTAAGCAAACACTACAGTTAAGCTAGCCACACCCTTAGCTTCTGTTATATTGGTCTCCTCTTCCTCCCCCTGCTCCTCTTCTTTTTGGTGGGGTTTGAAGCAAGTCTGCTTGCAGAGTCTGGATAGACTTCATTTTATCCCATTACTATATTCCCAGGGCTGGAGTGATGTCTCAGAGGTTAAGAACACTTGTTCTTCAGAGGACCTGGGTTCAATCCCAGCACCCCCACATGGTAGCTCACCATCTGGAACTCCAGTTCTAAGGCTTTAGTTACCCTCTTCTGACCTTTGTACACTGGGACTGTACATAGAACACTCACACACATAAAAATAAATTTCACATACTTCTACAATGAAATTATGTCCCCCAAATTTGAACGTCGGTAGGTCATTTACAAGGGAACCCCACATAGTGCAGCAGTTAATTGCTGTGGCTACAGAGGTGACACGGAGTGCTTCCTCTGGCTTAAAGTGTTTCATGGTTCTCAGCAGGGGAGATGGCAGCCACCTGGGCTCTGTGGAAGTTGCTTGCAGAAGCACCATCTGAGAGGGAAGAGAAACGACATGCCATGGCCCCTCTAAATCCCTGCCCCTCAGGAAACCACCTTATCGTGGAGGCGCCGTATTTATCATGTGGAGGTCTGGGAGCTGAGGGGAAAGCTGCAGTGCTAAGATCCAGCCCTGGGATCTCACACTTGCTAGGCAAGCCGCTACCATCGAGCTGCATTGCTGGCTCTGTAATATCCCGTTGAGATCAAGAGAGAAAGCAGAACAGAGAATAGGACCTAGAGTGGTGTGAGAGAGAGAGAGAGAGAGAGGTGTAGCAGGCAGCCATGCTGGGGCTTCAAGCCCATCTTTGCTCCTTACTACCAGGAGTAAGAACAGGTTTCCTTGTGTGCATGGTGGAGATAGTAGCATCTTCCCATACTCAGGATGAGGCAGTGTTTCGTGTAGGGATTGCAGAAAGCCCTGAGTGAAGGTCCGTTGCTGACATAGGCAGACCCATGGGAGAAGGGCATAGTCCCTAGCCCCACCCCTGGGGTGAGGCCTCAGAAGCGTGGCAAAAACCTTCCCCTGGTCCAAGCGCAGATTTTGACAGTGTGTGCAGAAAATGTCCACCTAGCTCTCTCCCTGGGGTGTTTACCACCTGCAGACTGCTCCTGTCCAGAGCCGGCTGTCTCCCAGATCCAGCTGTCCACACTAAACCTTGCCTCCTTGTTCATCTGTATATACCTGCCTTTCTGTTCAACTCTATACACACTCCGAGCTTCCAGCAGTGCTATGGTTTCTCCAGCAAAGCCGGGCCCACCAGAACCTAGCTTTCTGTCTATGTATCTGTTTCTTCATTATCTCACTGCTGTCAGTCCTGGGAACTGTGAAGAATGAGATGTTACAAACCTGGTAAATAAAAAAAAACAAAAGGAAACAAAAAATTCACCATTAAGCCCTCTAGCTACCGCCCCTAAGCAGCCAACAGAGAGACGCCAGACAGCTCATCTAAGTTTATGCTGGGAAAAATTCCTCTGCTCCTTTCATAAAACTGGTTTAAGTCTGCAAATCACACGCTCTCTGCCAGACACCCTGGATATTTGTCTAGCCGTGGATGAGTGGGTTGCCCAAGGGCTCCGAGAAGACCATATACTGGTCAAGAGAGAAGCTTCACTCTACCTAGACTCCCCACGTGACACTCTGTAAGTCACATTCTGTGCCACGCAGTATCACTGAAAGTTATGCTTCCATGGACTGGGGCAAAAGAGGAGGGCAAAGACACCTGTCAGATTCATGGGGAGGAAGAAAGAGCCATGTCTGCGTAAGAGCAAGGAGACTTAGAATGCTTAGTCTATTTTTTTTTTCCACGTAACAACTTATCTGAGGCCTAATACAGCAAGAAATTTAAAATCCAAGCCCAAACTGGTATTGCAAGCTTGCGTTCCCAGCTTCTAGGTAGGCTGCGGCAGGAGGATCAACATTGCAAGGACCCCCCCCCAGGTGACACAGTGAGTGAGTTCAAGGGCAGCTCAGGGAAGCTAGATAACGACGGCAAAGTAAAAAAAAAAAAAGGTAAGAGGACTGGAGATGCGGGTCAGTGGCAGGTGTAAGGTGGGAGACAGAAGGAAAGAGAGAGAGTCAGATGGCCAGCAGGGGGAAAGTAAGCAGGCTGTGGTGAGAGCCGGCAGCAGGGGAAGGGTGGTGGGTTCCCCGGGCGCTGTAGCCCTAGTCCTCCCGGGTCCCTGTTGTACAAATGGAGCCGCCTAAGGTCAGAGAGGAGTTGGGCTGGGCTGGACCGCGGCGACCTCACTTTCCCCTCCCGCGGGGCACGGCTGCGGGGCGGGCGGGTGCTCACGCTCAGCCCGGGCTGCAGACGTCCGTACTGCTCCGACACCCAGAAGCCGCGCCGGTCCTCCAGCGCCACGAAGGGCAGGTCGGGGAAGCGCGCGCGGAACTTCCGGAGGAAGCCGCCCTCGAAGTCGGCCAGCACGCCGTCCATGTCCACCAGCACCCGCAGGGCGCGGCTGCTCGCCCGGCTCCGCTCGGCCCGCACCGGGGCGCCGCGGGGACGCGCGCAGCAGCCGCGCAGCCGGAGCATCGCCCCGCTCGTCGCCCCGGACCCTCGGCACACGCAGCCTCCGCCGCGGACACGGACGCGCAGGCTCCGGCTCAGAGCGAGGCCCTCGCGCAGCCCCGCCGTCCTTAAAGGGATACGCGCCCGGAGACGGTGAAGGCGATCGTGGTGGGTGCTGATCGCCCCCGAGACGTCCAGTCCCAGTCTGCCAGAGCCAGGCTGGCGCCCTTCTCCAACTGTGGCAGTGGAGGATGGAGGAGCCCATTCCCCGGAGGTGCTTACCTGTGTGCTTAGGTATTTATCGAGCACTTAACTCATTGGGCTCTGAACCCAACAAAGTTAGCCATCCTGGATTGTGGGTACAGGTTTTTAAACAGCTGTGGTAGGTGATCCTGCTTGATCGTAGATGCTGATTGTTTGAAACCATGACCTTACAAAATTTAAAGGTATCCGAGGGTAAGCTTTCATATCTATCAAGGCGCTAAGGAGGACAGATGTTCTGTGTCCAGCCTGACATCACTGGACTCAACAGTGGACCTTCAAATCCGGCTATACATTTGGTAATTGTTATCATGCCTCGTGATATTAAAAAGGAACTAGTAAGTAGAAAAATATTTCAAAGGATGCAAACATGAAGATATTCTTAGTAATGAAAGATCTCGGTATGTCACGACTTTGTCCTACCTGGTCTGGATTCTGAGCACCCACGTGGCAGCTCACAACCCTAACTCTGGTCCCAGAAGATGCAGCGGCCTCTTCTGGCCTCCTTGGACATTGCAAGCACGTGGTGCACAGACATATTGGCAGGCAAAACATAAGAATAAAAATAATAATTTTTTTTTAATTTAAAAAAGACTGTGTTCTAAAGTGGGATGGCTGGATTTTTCCAAAATCCAGAAAGATAAAGACAAGACTAGACGCTCACGCACAGAAGGCCTGTGCAACTTGCATGCGGTTTATAGTGGATGAGCCTAGCCAGAGGACCAGGCAATCTGCTGCGAGATTATGCTTCCTTGAGCTTCACCCACAATACATCCACAGAATACCCGCCTAAACAAGACTAGTATAGGGACAGCACCATAGACACGCTAGCATGGAAGACAGACATGTCACCGGACGCTCACACACAGTAGCTCACATAGTCTGTAACTCCAGTTCGGGAGATTCAGCACCCTCTTCCAGCCCCTCAGGCACCAGGCCTGTGTGTGGTCCTCATACATAACGTTCGGGCAAAACCTTCATTTAGGCGTACTTTTTAAAAACTCTTTCATTTACATTTCTTTTATCTTTTTCTCCCTACTCCACCCCAATCCCTTCCATCACCCCAACACCAGGTAGGAGAGAAAAAGGGTTAGTGGGAGAGGGGGCACAGTTCTTTCTTAGCTGCTTCCTGCTGGGCAGGGTCATCTGGTTCCTTGGAGCCAGTCTAATCCTTGTTTCAGGAGATCTCCATCCTCTTGTTTTACAACAGCCACCAGGAGCAGCAAGGGACAATCAGGAGCAGTCTTGTTCTTTCTCTTCACTCTACCCTCTCTGGGCTCTGTCATTTATTCTCTTTCCAGTGTCCTCAGACTTAAACTATCTTCCGATGACAAAGAGCTCCTCTCAGAGACTGCACGAAGCAAATGGTCAGCTGCTATGGACCATCTGAATCAGCCCCCACATCCCACACCCACAAAAACATGTTTACATCCACAACACCTTCATATATACACTCGAAAAGAAACTCACCTGCCCTGTCATCTATGAAAGTCATTCTTCAAATTCATGAAACAAGAATCTAGAGCCATCAGCTCGGTGAAAGTTTTATGCATCTACAAGCTTCATGAACCCTCACTCCTGAGTTAGGCAAAGTCAAGGGTCCCACTTCTGCCTACCTCACAGGGTTTCAGAGGTGACAGACAAGAGTTGGGGGTGGAGTGTTAGTCTTTGGTGTTAGTCCCTGCGAGTGGGGCGGGGGGGCATCAGGGATGGAGTTTTCAAGAGGAACACTAAGGGGCCCTCTGAGTGATGTCACTGTCTCAGGCCCTCATGCGCCTCCAACTCCTCACACATGCATGTGTTGGTGATCTCCTAAAGTCATTGGTTCACCAAGCCAGCCCTGGTGAAGTATTTTCTTTGGTCTGTCATGTTTCCCCAGGAGAAATCACACAGCTCAATCCGTAAGACAGGCCTCTTTGTTTGCTGGACTAAATAGCACGGTCACGCCTAACTTCAAAGACGATAGAATGGAAAGTGGGATAGTTGTGAGCTGTCTGGGTGACCCCCGCCACAGTGTCAGCAGTCTTTGAAATCCTAGCCAGGGTAACTGCCTTTCAGCAAGATGTCATTCAATGTCCTTGTGCCAGCCTGCAGCAGGAAAGACCGTCTTTGCTATGGTGGCAAAGTGTTTGCTGAGAGCATCCGAATCTTGATAAGAGCTAGGATGGATGGAGTGAGTCCGAAGCAGCGGATCACTTTCCCAGAATCTGCTTCTGTCTGTCTCACCTTTGCTGGGCCTGGAGACACAGCTGCCACCTTAACACAGGTCGCCCTCTGAGCCTGTGCTTATGTGACACATCCCCACATCCGTAGCTTCCAGAGGCTCTTTGTTTTACATCGTAAAACAAATCATTTTAACCAGTTGAGCTGAAACATGTAAAACTTTTGTCCCCCTGCCTGCTTCTGGTTAGGGTGTAATTGTGGGTTTTGACTTGAAAAACATGAACCCTGACTTGATTAGGGGCCAAGGGTTCTTTGTGAGCAGGAACCTGCTCTCAATATAATACCACTGTGGGTTAGGACTGTACCTCAGTAGACAGACTCAGCAGACAGACTGAACTGCCTAACATCTAAGTCCTAGTCCAGTCCCTAGCGTCATATAAATGATAGAGTGAAGCGCACTGGTACTCCTGGATTGATCTCAAGATTGAGAGCTTCAAAGCTGTGTGTGTGTGTGTGT